GAGTTCGAGTGCTTCATGGGCTCTTGAAATAACTGTTTGGGTGCTGCAGCACATGCATTTTAACTGTGTGGTTTAATTCCTCTCTCTGCAGCCAGGGGTGGCTGGAGCACCTGGCCAGACAGGAGACCCCAGCCCTCTCTGTAACAAGAGCCTGTTCTGCTCCTCCGTCCTCCCCTCCTACCCTGCTCAGCAGCTCCCCCCTTCCGGTTTTAATCCACCTCCTCTACATCGAGTGCGTCCTCCTTCTCCCCTTCCAAGCCTAGGAGAAAGACATATATTCTTAGCACCTCTTGCTATTGTGCCCCAGCTCCCCAGTTCTTGCCCCTCGGCATTGCTTGCAAGGAAGTGTTTCCTTCTGCCACTTCCCTCGGAGAGTCACAAGACCAGGCACGTCTGTCTGAGCTCTGTAACTCCCTTCTGCATCATGCAGAAGTTATTTTTCTGTTCATTAGGGTTTATCTGCTGTGCAAATCTGCTCCCCTCCCCAAACTCCCCTGGCATATCTGTGCCATCAGTCATGACAATGGCTCATCACAGCGCTGCTAATCGCAATGAGTGGCTCATTGTCCCCTGTGCTGGAGCATATGGTCTCCAGCCTTAACGTTCCCCCATGCAAAGGTTTCTGCACTAGGAGCAGCTGTGAAAAGGCTTAGTGGATCTCCCCAGAGGAAGGCAAGTGTAATATCCACAAGGAAGTGCGCTAGACAGCAGCATGGCACAGAGGCAACAGGAGGGCAGGGATGGCTCTTGAGAACTTCGCTGTGATTCCAGAGCATCTCTCGTCCTCAGCCAGATCTCAGGTGCCACAGTGCCGAAATGCAGCTGCCTCTGGAGTGGAAGGTGACAGCAAAATGGCATGAACATAAAGCTGAAGGAGGTAGGAGGAGGAGGAAGTCTTATCCACTACTGTTGGGCCCACCTTCACGTTACTACAAAATGAAAGCGCTGTGCTGCTTTGCTCCTAGGCAGAATACCCTCCTCCTGCATCAGCCTGTGCAGTCCCTTGGAGTAGGACTTGGTTTCTCTGGAACCAAAGGGAGCTATCAGGTGGGAGACTGCTTGGGGCTATTGCTCAGACTGCAGAGCCACCTGTGGGGACAGGGACCTTCACCTGCAAGGGTTCTTCATGCCTGTATCAGTGTGAGAGTAAGTGTAAACCCTGAGTGCTGAGAAGCGAGGAGTAATCGCTGCTCCCCAGGTGCATGACTTTGGAGAGGCGGGTAAGCATGTGCCCAGGGCTGGGTTACCCTGATTCTCCGCTGCTGCGGAGCAGGCTGCTGGAGCAGCCTGCACGCTGAGGTCTCCCCCAGCCGCTCCCACTGCTGGATCCCCTCAGCTCTCTGGTGCTGCAAAAGGTTAGCATAAGTCTGAGGCTGCTTGGTCTCTCTGAGAGAGACCTCATCCCACCAACTCACTGGCAAGAAGGCAGGAAAACAGGGGTTTTATTTTCATTTCAATACAGTACTCAACAGAAACAAACAATCCAGATGTGGGGCAAAGGGGCTGTGCAAGACAGTCTGCCATGGCCTCTCTTGGCACAAAATATCATCCCCTCTCCCCAACAGTTCCTGGCTGGCTGTAGCAAGGAGTGGTCCTTGGGGCTTTTTACGTGGCGAAGTTGCTGGATCACCGCATAGGGGATTAGTAGAAGCTTAAGAGGTGGGATTGATTTGACTCCAGATGGAAAATCCCCCTCCCTTATTTAATTTCTTTAAAGAAATGAATTTCCTCCCCCTCCACCTTGCTTGGCTGCCCAGGGTAGCGCAGAGCTGATTATGGCTCATGCACCAGCACCCTCTGTGGGGTGGGAGTCAGTAGCCACAGAGTGCAGTGGGTGTCGGGGCCATGCTGGAGAGGGGTGATTAGGGGCATGCTGTAGGTGAAGGGAGTCCTTTAACTGCAATGGGGGCCCTCCAGATCTTCACTCATCTGCTCTCTGTGTTTCTGGCCTGTTGTCTGTGTCCAGAGAGCTTCTGGGGAGCCCCAGCACTGTCGCTTTGCCAATGCAAGCAGGGCCTTGCTGCGTAAGCACAAAATCCTCCTGTAGGAAGGCTGTCACTTGGTGTTGTGTTCAGGGTCTGTCATTTGATGCTGTCTCCTCTGCATGCAGATGAAAGGCAGGATGGAAACGTGCCTGTGGCTGCTTGCATGAGCCCTGGTCTCTTGCAGAGCCATCCAGGGGGCAGCTGCGCTTCCCAGAGCCCCTGCCAGGGGGCTGGATGCTGGGCAATAGCATGCCCCAGCCCTGGCAGGGTAGACCTCCCCAGATCAGTGCCTAGAAGGTGTAGCAGCAACCATAGGGTATGTTTT